CTCGGCCTCCGCATCCGCCTCCGCCTCCTCCTTCCCCTCCTTTTCCTCCTCCTCCTCCTCCTCCTCCGCCTCTTCATCATCCTCCTCATCCGCCTCCTCCTCCTCCTCTTCTCACCCCATCCTCCCCAACACTCCTCGACATTATCGCTTCTCTTCGTTCCTCCCTGAGACGCCGCCAACTGATTGACACGAACGGACGACAAGTAAATCGTTTGGGGGGCACAGGGTCGCCATCGGGCTCAACGGCCTGTGCGGCCCCCTGGACAGCAGGCAGACATAAGCCAGGCGCCCCGATTTTTTCACAGAGAGCAGCTCTAGCAGCCCAAGTGCACCGTCTACGTGCGAATTCTCACATAGCGCTGATAGGCCGCCATTGACTACAATGCTACAAGAAGCAAGAACAGCATACACATAAACTGTCGAAAGGCCGCGCGGATGTCTTGGTTCGGCGTTGGACCCCGTCCCTGGCGCGCGGAGCGCGCCAGGGGTTTGTAGGAAGCGCCACCAGGGGGTTCCAGCACCGACCAATGACAGATGCACGGGCCTCCAAAAGTGTATGTGTATGCAGACGTGTCTTCTTCGATTCGCATGTACTCCCGCCCATGTGGCAGCTGCCTTCCACGTCCCGCGCGTCCGACAGCTTGCGCACGGGGATGCCGTGCCTTCACAAAGTACCACCGAAGGCAGCGTTGCTCTCCATCATCCTCGCATTCCTCCTCCCCCATCGAAACTTCGCCTTCGCCTCCTCACGAATATCCGACTGCCGCATCTCACGCTTCTGCTTACGCATCCACTCTCACCCTCGCTCACAGTCTGACTCTGCTCTACCCTGAACCTCCATTATCTCTCTCTCTCTCTCTCTCTCTACAGTCGGACCTAGGCCAGAAGAACGTCCTTCAGTAACATGAGACCTCCGTCGCCCAAAACAAACAGAACATTCAAGGGTACCCTCCCCAGGATGCACAAGAACATCCAACAAATACGTAGAACACTAGTAGAGAAACTACTTAATAAACCTAACGTTTGGCGCTCCGCGCGGAGTTCTTGGATCTGCGCTGGACACCTCTCCCTGGCCACGGGGGGCGCTGGAGGCGCCGCCAGGGGGGTCCCAGCGCAGATCCAAGAAATCCGAACGGACCGCCGAAAGTCTGTGTTCATATGTTGTTGTTCTTCGAATCAAGCAAACACGAAGAACACTAAGGCACCTTCCCTGACACAGACCTCGATCTCCTTCCTCGGTCCGACTGTACTCTGACCCCCCGCGGGCCGCACGGGAACTTCCAGGCCCGGGTCGGCGGAGGGAGGGCTGGCAAGCCGACGCCACACGGCTCCCCAAACCTTGGTCAAACAGAGGCTCTAGCAGGAGATCGACTGCAAAGTTGATTTACCCCAAAATTGATTTGCTCTGCGAATCTACAAAAAAAAAAACCTAGAATGTTCCGTAGATCAGTGGAGTATTCAACACATGTGTGGTAGATTCGGCGAACATTTCACCCTATTCAAATAGAGGTGATCCGAAGGCGTTGGCGGACCACCGTCAGTGGAGGCTTAATGGAACCGGAGTAGATTGGGTCTCAGGATCGCACGGCCTCGCCTGTGCATCGGCGACGGCGGGATGGAGAAGATCGCGTCGCATCGCCGTTGCATCCGCATTGTGGCGCGATCCTCCGAGGCCATCTGCTCCGATCCCACTCGGGAGGCCTCGTGGTAGCGCTGACCCCCATATTGCGCCCAGATCCGACGTCGCGAGACACTGAAACACCGATTATCCTTCTGCGGCACGCCCCGAGCCACAACGACCCGTGAAGGCCCCCCGGGGGCCTGGGACTGTGAGGCCCGGCGAGATGAGCGCCCGACGCGAAAAAGCTGCGGCCCCGGGACCTCTCGAGGCACCTCCAGCCCGATCGGGGTCGAAACATTGAGGGATGATTCCAACCCCGCACTGAAACTCTCACTGGAAAGCGGATCCTGGTGTATACGGGATTTTGGTGTATACATGTTTCGTTGTTTCCCCAGGAAAACGGGGAAACGAGTATACACCACACCACACCGACGCCATCCCAGACCCTCAAACAAAGTCCTGGGATTGAAAAACAGCCCGCCACTGGTAATGTATTTGCTCCAGTTCCCGAAGGGCGGGCGAAGGGGAATCGGGGGGTAAGAAAGAAGAGGGGGTGATAAGAAGAAGCGGATGGCAAAGGAGGGGATCGGAGAAGGGGGCGGGGGATAGGGAACCCGCTCACCTGTAGCTGGCTTTCCTGCCGCCTCCCGGCGCCAGAGGTGCCCAAAGTCTTTGGATGAAAGGCGGCCAACGGCGGAGAATCGAAACCGGCTGCATGCGCAAGAGATCTCGTCCCGCCCCCCTTCCCTGTCCCCCCCTTTCATCCGACCCTGTTTGGGTCGGCCACACGCACGAGTTATCCTAGGCCAGCAGGGCCTTCGGCGCGCGGCGGTAAGGTGACATTAGAGAGGGGGAGGGGGGAGGGCAAATCCAAGCGCGCTAACCAGTGCTGGGAAGCTCCATTCGTGAGGTTGTGGTTCGCAATCTTGGGGTTGTCGTTCGCGCTGGCCTACGCTGTGGCCTCCTGCGCATTCCATCTGCCCTTTGCTGCGGGCTCTGGCTTTCACAGTTTGCTTTCATAAGTTTTCGCATGTCCTCACCATGGCCTCCTGGTCCTCCACCATCATTCCTCCTGCCTTCCTCCTCTTTTCCTCCTCGTCCACCCCCGCACCCCCCCCCTCCTGGAGGAGCCTTGGGGGAGGAGGAGGGGGAAGAGGAGGAGGGAGGACGGAGGAGGGAGGACGGAGGAAGGAGGAGGGAGGGGACAGGAGGGAGGAGGGAGGAGGGAGAGAAGGGAGATGAAGGAGGTGGGAGAAGACAGGATGGAGGGGGAGGAGGCAGGAGGGAGGAGGGAGCGAGGGAAGGAGGTTGGAGGTGGGAGGAGGGAGGAGGGAGGAGGGCGGAAGGGGGAGGGAGGAGGAAGGAGGAGGCGGAGGAGGTGGAGGTGGTGGAAGAGGAGAAAAAGGAGGAGGGGGAGGAGGAGGAGGAGAAGGAGGAGGAGGAAGAGGGTGACGAGGAGGAGGAGGAGGAGGAAGAAGAGGAAGGGGAGGAGTGCGGGAGGAAGGGGTTCTTTCGTAGTGGTAGGGCGCTGTTCCGCTTGAATCCCCCAAGTGGTTTCGCGAGGCAACCCCAGGGATGCCTTCAGAGGGCCTCGAGTTTAAACGCATAAAGAATCGTGTGTATATATGGGTGTACGCATTAGGTTGTACGCATATCGCAACTGATTAGGTGTGTGAGTGAAAATATAAATAAACAGTGATTGCACGCGTATACTGTTAGTGGGGACAGGCGTCTCCTGGCCATCGGAAACACCGACCAATGTCTTTAACACGTGGTCGGTTTCCACTTTGCGTATTTAACCATACATGAATACATCTATAGGTATACACCTGTGTATATATATATATATATATATATATATATACGCGACCGAAGGGCTGGACACATGGCCGCACATCCGAACTTCTATTCCGAGCGCATCGTGGTATATATTATGTGGGCTATGCATTGTATGGTCCCGAAACCCAAAACAACGAAATGCGAGCACGATACAGTGGGCACACGGCCGCAAGAAACCGTCGCAAGAAACCCAGCCCTGGAAACCGTGGCCAGGGGCTCGAAGCGGAGAAACCCAGGGAGCTCTGGCCCGAGGAGTTTCTTCGCGGGTCGCACTAGGAAAATGCGCGAGTAGTAATTTTGCCGTTGACCCTCCGAATCCACGCAGATGCAAGAAATTCAAAATACCCTCGGCGCAATGACGTTTCTTCGGCGTCGGGATTTTCTAACAATTTCGCGATTGGTCCTCCGACTCCGCGCGGATGCAAGAAATTCAAGGTACCTTCGGCGCAGCGAAGTTTCTTCGGTGGCGGGGCGTAGCTTCCGCGATGTGGAATTGGGAGGACACCCAGGGTCTCCTGAGCGCGAGAGTTTCTTGACGCCCGCGGGAAACCATCGCGGGCCGCGCGGAGCGAAGAAACCTAAGATGCCCTGACGAAAAACATCCGGTTTCTTGGTGCGCGCCCCCACTGTAGGTCTCGGCAGCGAGTAGGGATTGGGATCGTATTCGAAATTGTACGCAACCCATCTACAGTTATTGATCGGCTAGTCGACCAGGACATGTGAAGGGATAGTCCAGCGCCACAACTACGAAGGCCGCCTTAGAAAATGCCCCCGATGGCGAACGCCTTAAGACAGGAGCTCCTTTACAAAGATGGCCCGGTGGTCGACCCCGAGAAACAGACCATTTTCAGCCCAAAGTGGTAGGTTTTCCTGCGCCATCTGTTCGGCCAACCATTCGGGGCCTCCGCTGCCAGCACCACATCACGCATCCCAGTCGGCGACCCGATTGGGATACGCGCAGGGGGTGCCAGGAGCCTGCGCCGACTTCCTTCGCATGTCCCAGTCGAATCGCCGACGGGGGCGTGTGAAGGGGGAGGCATGATGTTGCAGCTGCGCCGAACACGCCGCCCCGCAGCAGACGCAAGCAGTTTGGGACATCTCTCGGGAAGAGGGTCGCGGCGCTGCAGCTGCGCCGAGCGCGCACCGCAACAATCACTAGATGTTTGGGACCCGCAGTGGTGGGGGAATCCAGCGACCCCCCAGTCATGTCCCGGTCGGACCGCCGATCGGGACATGACAGGGGGGTCGGGGGGCCGAGGACAACCCCCCTTCACATGTCCCAGTCGGCGGTCCGACTGGGACATGTCAGGGCAAAGTATGGAGCCGGATCTGCGCCGAACACGCCCCGAACATGTCCCAGTCGGACCGCCGACTGGGACATGTGAAGGGGGGTTGTCCTCGGCCCCCCGACCCCCCTGTCATGTCCCGATCGGCGGTCCGACCGGGACATGACTGGGGGGTCGCTGGATTCCCCCACCACTGCGGGTCCCAAACATCTAGTGATTGTTGCGGTGCGCGCTCGGCGCAGCTGCAGCGCCGCGACCCCCTTCCCGAGAGATGTCCCAAACTGCTTGCGTCTGCTGCGGGGCGTGTTCGGCGCAGCTGCAACATCATGCCTCCCCCTTCACACGCCCCCGTCGGCGATTCGACTGGGACATGCGAAGGAAGTCGGCGCAGGCTCCTGGCACCCCCTGCGCGTATCCCAATCGGGTCGCCGACTGGGATGCGTGAAGTGGTGCTGGCAGCGGAGGCCCCGAATGGTTGGCCGAACAGATGGCGCAAGAAAACCGACCACTTTGGGCTGAAAATGGTCCGTGTTTCGGTGTCGACCATCGTGCCTAACCTTGTAAAGGAGCTGCCTTAAGGCGTTCGCCATCGGGAACATTTTCTAAGGCGGCCTTCATAGCTGTGGCGCTGGACTACTCCTTCACATGCCCTGGTCGACTAGACGACCAATAACTGTAGATGGGGTGCGTGACTTCCATATAATTTCGAATGCGATCACAATCCCTACGCGCTGCCAAGACCTATCGTGCTCGCATTTCGTTGTTTTGGGCTTCGGAACCATACAATGCATAGCCCACATAATATATACCACGATGCGCTCGGAATAGAAGTTCGGATGTGCGGCCATGTGTCCAGCCCTTCCGTAGGGCTGGACACATGTGTATAGATATATAGGTATATATGTGTGTATATATACACATGTGTATATATGCTTAAATACGGAGAGCGGAAACCGACCACGTGTCAAAGAAAATGGTATGTACTTCCGATGGCCAGAAGACGCCTGCCCCCACTAACAGCATACACCTGCACTCAATGTTTATATACATATATATACCTAATAATCTGCCATATCTGAACCAACTAATCTATACACGTGTATATCTACACGATTGCATATGCGGTAAAAAAGGCCCTCTGAAGGCATCCATGGGATTGCCTCGCGAGCCCACTTGGGGGAATCAAGCGGAACACCGTCCTACCAAAACGAAGGAACCCCTTCCTCCCGCACACCTCCTCTTCCTCCTCATCCTCTTCCTCCTCCTCGTCACCCTCTTCATCCTCCTCCTCCTCCTCCTCCTCCTCCTCCTCCTCCTCCTCCTCTTCCCCCTCCTCCTGTTTCTCCTCCTCCACCTCCTCCACCTCCTCCTCCGCCTCCTCCTTCCTCCTCCCTCCCTCCTCCGCCCTCCTCCTTCTTCACTCCTCCCTCCTCCCACCTCCAACCCTCCCTCCCTCCTCCCTCCTCCCACCTCCCCCTCCTCCCTCCTCCCTTCTCCCACCCTCATCTCCCTCATCTCCCTCTCCCTTCTCCCTCCTGTCCCCTCCCTCCTCCTTCCTCCGTCTTCCCTCCTCCGTCCTCCCTCCTCCTCCTCCTCCCCCTCCTCCTCCCTCGAGGCTCCTCCAGGAGGGAGGACGCGGGGGTGGACGAGGAGGAAAAGAGGAGGAAGGCAGGAGGAATGATGATGGAGGACCAGGAGGCCATGGTGAGGACATGCGAGAATCTATGAAAGCAAACTGTGAAAGCCAGAACCCGCTGCAAAGGGCAGCTGGAATGCGCAGGAGGCCTCAGCTCAGGCCAGCGCGAACCACAACCCCAAAATTGCGAACCACAACCTCACGAATGGAGCTTTGGGGGGAGGGACCCTGAGGGACCCGCACCAAAAGGTCACTCCAGCGAGGGGCCACTACGACCGGAAAGACGTAAGATCGGGGGGCTCGGGATGGCCCGACGGGGCCGTCAGGAAAATGACGAGAACCAACCAGAAATTTGACGCGAGCTCCCGCTGCGAACATACCATCAAAACTGGACGGTCAAAACTCAGAACGGGCCCGTCAAAAAGCATCTGCGAACTCGAGTCTTATAAACAATGTTTCATTGGTGTCGACAACGGGCGTCATTGGGGGGGGGAGGGGAAGCATAACGCAACGCCCTCGCCCCCCACCGTGACAGACTCTGGTACCAGACGCACTGCGGCAGTGCCGGGGACGAAGGGGAGGAGCGTTACGTTACAGCCAGACCAAGGACTGAAGAACATACTTCAAGAACATGAGACCTTCCGCAAGCCAAAATATCCCAGACACGAAGAATGCTCTCCCCCAGGATGCACAATGACATCCAACAAGCGCGGAAAACCTCAGGGCACCCTCCCCGAACCGACCTCGATCTGACACCACGGTCCGACCGTATGAGGGGGGAGGGGGAGGGAACCAAACAATGACATAAACATACAAAATTGAAGATCCGCGCGGATTTCTCGGATCAGCGCCGGATCCCCCTCCCTGGCGCCGCCAGGGGACCCCGGCGCCGATCCGAGGAATCCGCGCGAACCTCCGAGTGGAGCTGTCATGTTTATGCCACCGCTTGTTCCCCTACGGGTACGGGGGGGGGGCCGCCGGGGGACCCCAGCGACGATCCGAGGAATCCGCGCGGACATCCGAGTTGAGTTGTGATGGTTCTGTCACTGCTCGTTCCCCCAAGGGGGGGGGGGGGGGGGGGGCATAACGCGCGCTGTGCCCGCAGGGTGAAAAGCCTTCCCTTTGCGCTTCCCCAATCTTGCTCGCGGACCTCGGAGTGGATTTGTTCTGCTTCTGTCACTGTTCGTCGTTCCCACAAGGGAGGTGGGGTGTTGGGGGGGGGGGCGGGGGGGCAAAACGTGGGCCACGCCAGAGGCTAAAAAGCCTTCCTTTCACGTTCCCCCGATCTTGCGCGCGGACCACCGATTAGAGTTGTTAAGATTATTTCACTGCTCGTTCCCCCAGGCGGGGGCGGAGGGGGGGGCCAGAACGCGCGCTATGCCCAGAAGGTGAAAAACGTTCCCTTTTACGCTTCCCCTTATCCTGCGCGCGGACAACTGAGTTGAGTTGTCATGCTTCTGTCACTTCGTTCCCCTACGGGCGGGGGGGGCATAAGGCGCGCTATGCCCAGAGGGCTAAAAGGCCTTCCCTTTTGCGCTTCCCCGATCTTGCGCGCGGACCTCCGAGTTGAGTTGTGATGTTTCTGCCACTGCTTGCTCCCCTGAGGGGGGGGCATAACGCGCGCTAGAATTGGAGCTCGACCGCAAGAAACCTGCCACAAGAAACCCAACCCTGAGACCCCAGGACGTAAATTGATGTCTGGTGTGAGACATCACGCGTTCCATTGCAAAAGCATCGGCACCCCAGAAACCCAGGGCACCCTGGAGGCAAGCAGGGAAGGCTGGAGGCACCAGGGCCTCCACTCGATGCCCAAGAGGGCATCAAACCTCTTCCTTTTACGCTTCCCCGCTCTTGCGCGCGGCCCGTCGGCGGCGGGGCGAGGGCGGGCGGCGCGGCCCGCCCGGCCCCACCGGGCGCTTCCCGCGCCTCGCCGGGGAAGGCGTGGCGACGACCGGGCGCGGCTCCAGCGAGCCCTCGGCGGGCGCGGAGGCGGCGCGGAGGCGCCCGTCCGCTCAGAGGGCAGCCAAAGAGGCTGGCGCCATCCGCGTCGGCTGCCGCCGTCTGCCGTCGATCGCGGCCGCGGCCGCTGCCGCCGGTCGGGTCGCCGCCGCCCTCGGACGCCATCGTCGCCGACGCAGTGCTCGGTCGACGCCGCCGCCGCTGGAGATCTTGCTGCCGGGGCATCTTGGCTGCAGATCGCTCGCGCACGGCTGCCATCTTTTGGAGTCCCGAAACGGTGCGGTGAAAAACCGTGCGGTGACCTCGAAATCCCCCAAGACCTCAACGCACGGTCCGTCAACGCACGGTTTTGGGACCTCGGATGCCCCAGTCGCCCGAGACGTCCTCGGAGAACGACCCGAGTCCCAAAACCGTGCGGTGACCCAGAATCCCCACCGACTCACCACACGGTGTGGTCACCAGCCTGTTTGGGGGCCCCCGACATCTGCGGCTCGTGGTGACTGAAGAGCCCCGCCGGAGGAACTGGTCTCGGAGCTCAGCGTTTCTGCACGTCGAGATTGCCGCGTCGGAGCCAACAAGGGAGGAGGGGGACGAGGCGGGGAGGAGGCGGGAGAGGGAGCAGGGAGGAAAGAGGAGGAGGAAGGAGGAGCGGAAGGAGAGAGGAGGGAGAGGAGGGAGAGGAGAGGGCGGGGGGCGGGGACGGGGGTGACAGAGGAGAATGAGGAGGCGGGAGGGAGCGGGGAGGAGGACGGAGGACAGGGAAGAGAGGGAGGACCGAGGATGGCGCATGAGTGAGAATGGGGAGGGGGCTTGGGAGGAGGACGAGGATGATGGAGCAGGAAGGGGGGAGAGGGGAAGCTTCGCGAGAGGTGCGGCATGATGGGGCTACATCCTATGCATGGCGTCGCTTAGATACTGCTCTCTACTCACTGGCCCGAGTCTTATCACATTATCGTCGTTACTAATCCTCACCCTCCTTCTCCACCTCCACTTCCTCATCCTCCATCCCATTTCAACATCAATTATTTCGCTTCGAGCTATCCCCACCGAAACCTCAAGCCTTTATTCCCGACGGCGAGCGGTCATCTAATTGGACGGCACCTGCCGTTTCTGGTTAAAGACGATTCAACCGTGATCCATGTAGTCACGTTATTTCATGGTGTTCTCTATTATGTCCTGTTATGTTCTCGACAGGCCGGCGTGTGACATTAGATGCGTCGCCTGTTATGAAATTACTTTTGACTTATGTGTCTCGTCTGGTTGAATATGGTATGGTATGCTCATTTCTGTCACCGTATGACTTGATATGTTATAATATGATCTGCCCTGTGGCACTATGTGATGGCATGGTATGCTATGTCATGAGATGGTATAGGATGCTATGTTCCGTGATGATGTTGTCAGCTCGGCTCAGTCTAGTACATTATGCTATGCTCTGTTAGTATGTTTCGCTGTGCTCTGCTGTCGCACTATGATATGTTCTGCGATGCTGTGCCATGATGATCGGATCATGTGATGCTCTGTTTATTGACGGCTCGGCTCTGTATAATATATTATGATATGCTCTGTTAAAATGTGCAGCTATGCTCTGTTGCAGGGCAAAGATCTGTGCTGTGATGATGTGCCATGGTATGGTATGGTATGCCAAGGTGTGTTATGGTATGCTCGGATATGTTATGTTGTGTTATGGCGTCCTCCGTCATGTCCTGTTATACTATGGCATGAGTTGGGATGTTATGTTATGCTGTGTTATCAATGCATTTGTATGTCATGTTATGTCATGTTCTGTCATGCTCGTGATCTGCTCTGACATGGTATGTGGTGTCATGTTGTGGTCTGTCGTGCTCGTCGTCGCTATGCTCTGCTGCAGAGGAGGTATCATATGTTCTGGGATGCTGCGTCATGATATGATATGGTGTGTCAAGATGTTTTATGGTATGCTCGGCTATGTCATGCAATAGTGTGTTATGTCGTATCATGTTATGTCATGTTCCACTCTGGTACAGTTATGTGATGATTTGCTTTGTCACAATGTTTTATATGCTATGTTATGTCATGTTCCGTCATGCTCTGCTCCGTTCTGTCATGCTCTGTTCTGTAATGGTTTGTTCTTGCCGTGTTCGTCGAGGGCGCGATGCGGAACACCCGGGACTCTCGGGGATCATCGGGACAACTTGGGGTCTAGCGGCCGCTGTATGCAGGGTGAGGCTGGCTGGGGGGCCTGATCTTGAAATCTAATAGCCACAGCCTGGCGGGTGGGGAACAACTTCTCCCTGTCGCACCCCTAGGCCGGGCTGGGAGTTTCGCCCGAGACTTCCTCACCATGTATGGTTCTGAAGCTTGACTTCTGTAGCATTTTCGAGGATGGAGGGCGGGCCGTTTTCGACATGGAACTCTCGCCTTAGCGCCGCGAGCACCCGTCCTAGAGTTTGAAGCAGCTTCAAAGATCGAGGGCGGGTCGTTTTCAAAGACGGAGCTCTTGTGACTTAGCGCCAGCGCATATTCGTTGAACATGTGCAACAGCTTCTTGGATGGAGGCTGGTTCCTTTTAAAAATGTGGTTCTCGCCTACGCGCCGCGCGCATTCGTCTATTTCGGAATCCCAGGACCTGTGTTCCAGAACGAATTAGGAAGATCAGAACGCAGCAATCACGGGGATTCGCGGTGTTGAAGTCTCAGGAACGGCGATCTGGCACGATTCAGGACCGCCAGGACGCAGCAGTCACGTTGACTCCCGGAGTTGAAATCCCAGGACTGATGCGTTGGCACGATCTACGATTCTCAACTAACTTCCAGAGGTTGAGTGGTGTATGGATACTATCAAATCTATATGACACGTGAGAAAACCCAATCAGGGCATGATTTGGAAATTGATACTATGGATCTTGAGATCGATTGGGAGATCGATAATGAGATCGATAGTGGAATCGATAGTGAAGACGATTGTAAGGTCGATCGTGAGACCGAGAGTGAAATCGATTCAATGAGATCGATAGTGAGATCGATCGCGAGATCGCTCATTCGATCTCTAGTGAGATCGCTTGTGAGATTGATAGTGAGATCGATTGTGAGATCGATGGTGAGATCGATCGAGAAATCGGTGATGAGATCGATGGTGAGACCGATCGATAAAAAGATCGACCAAGAACCCCAGAACCCAAAAACCTCGCCGCCCTCCGAAATCGGCCCGGAACCCAGAACCGGGGACCCGGGGAACCGGGAACCAGGAACCGGGGAACCCATCCTGCCACCAAGATCGGCGGGAACTTTCGCGAAATCCTTCAACTTCCGCTAGGACCCCTTCAGTGCAAGCACTGGTTGGGGAAATATGGCTATGTTGCTGTATTGTATGATTATGATCCTGGCCAGGCGTATCCCCGTTTCGGATGATTCGGACGGGTTTCTTTCAATAGGCCACTTCCTGCAATTAAACCAATCGTGTGGGGATTGTTGAAGAGGAAACTTGGAGGGAGGTTGTGTTACTACATCGTTGATGCGCCTTCGGTCTACACTGGTCCTCATCCTCCTCGTCCTTCGCCTCCTTCGTCTCCTCTGCTGAATTCCCAGAAGGACGTTCCCTGCGCGATCACGAACGAGTATACGTCAACATTGCGGATGTCTGTCACTCACCGACTGATGTTGGCAAACGACACTTGAGCCAAACAGCGGCAACGGGTGGACATTATCCCGTTACCCCATTAAGCTCATTCTATCATCATCTTCCACCCGTCATTCTCCTCCCTCCTGCTCCTCCTGTTCCTCATCCCCCGCATTGGGACCGCACCAAGTAGATCAAAGATTCATATCAAGACCTGCTCGGGCTTGGGACACGCAGCCGAACCGTATTTTACCACAGGCTCCGAACTTGCCGAGAAGCCTCCTCCTGCGTGACCTCCTCCCTCCATCAACCCCTTTCCTTCTCTCAATCGAAACAACCACCATAATACACGCCTCGGCAGAAAACACACTGCGAATCAGACAGCCGCCAAGCAAACCGTGAATGCCACACAAGCCGACCTCAAATTGGCAAACTCGTGTAGATAACATTGGCCTGGGAGAGAAAAGCAGAACACCCCCATCAAACCAAAGCGCATCATGTAACTCCGTCGTCGACACTATCAATATCCGCATCTTCCCCCTTCCCCGCATCATCATCAGAATCATCGTCATCACCACCACCAGCATCATAATCATACATATCATCAACATCCTCCTCATCACCGTCATCATCGGTATCATAACCACCACCATTATCATCGATGTCATCATAGTCGCAGACGTAGTCGTCGCGGCCATCGGCCATATCACCATATTCGTACTCGTCACCATCGCCACATCCATAATCGGTATCATCGTTATCATCGTTATCATCGTTATTATCATCATCAGCACCACCATCATCATCATCAGCATCATCATCACCACCCACATCATCGTCATCACCGCCACTGTCATTACCACCATTGACACCATCAGTCTAATGAACAACGTCACAACATATATCCGGATCAACATCATGATGGTCATCATCATCATCATCAAAAAAACACCATCAACATTAGCATCCGTCCTCATCATACGTACTCACTATTGTCATCGTCTTCATCTTCATCATCATCAACATCATTACCATCATTACCATCATCACCGCCATCATCACCATCACCGTCACCAGCATCAGCAACAGCAGCACCATCATCGCCATCATCAGAATGGTCATCATCATCGGCATCATCAGCATCATCATCATCATCGGCACCATCATCATCATCATCATCATCATCAGCATCGCCAGTCTCACCCTCATCATCAGCATCGTCATCAGCAGCAGCATCAGCAGTAACATCATCGTCATCGGCAGCAGCATCGTCACCGCCACCATTGTTGTTACCACGATTGGCATCATCAGTAGCATGAGCAGCGACCATCATAAGCGTGATCAGCATCATGATCATCATCAGCATCATAATCAGCATCATCATCGTCATCATCAGCAGCATCATCAGCATCATCATCATACATCTCATCATCGTCGTTATCATCAACATCACCACCATCATCACCATCGTCATACGTACCATCATCGCCATCATCACCACCACCATCATCATTCCCATCGCCGTCACAATCGTCGTGGTCAACATCGTAATAGTGATCAGCACCAGCATGAGCATCAGCATTATGAGCATCAGCATCAGAGACCGCACCATCTGCATCAGCATCAGCATCAGCGTCGGCACCAGCATCATCATCAGCATCATCATCACCACCATCATCATCACCATCATCATTTACATTTGAACATCACCATCGTTGTCACTGTAAGTGTTCGTCATATGCGAGTGATCTCACACTATACGTTTACATATCAGACTCCTCCACTCGCATCAACACGCATCCCCGCTCACCCTCCCACCCCGACATTTTGTACGGGAGCCCCCTCCCACAAATCTGGGGAGGCGCGAAAGGCGTCGGGGATCGTGCGGAGGGGGCTCGATTCGACCACACTGCAAACGAACACAGCAACTGCATTTTACGCCGCCAAGACGGGCATTCTCCGAAACGTCCCCTGCGAAATGAGGGACCCGTCGGAAATATTGGCACTGGCGAACTCCTTCGAGTGCAGAAGAACCACCATCAGAATGAGCAACCCGAAGCGAACCCCTTTAGCAAATGCGCCTGAGGAAGAAGTCGGACAGGACAGCGGTTTAGGACATGCCCAAGACTATTTCGCACATGCCCATTATGGGGGTCGGGGAATTTTGTTCTTTCCCTATCTCCCAACCCGTCACGTAAGTACCCCGCCCGCGCCCCAACGACCTGCGAGGAAAAGCTGTCCGAGTCCTCGCGCGCGGAAAGCCACGGGTCAAAAAGGCAGCAAACCGAGTCAAATAGAAAAGGAGGACAAATGGGGGTGACGGACTTTGATTAGGAAGCTGGGGGTAGTGGGGGGAAGTCAGAAGGAAGGTAAAGTAAGAAAGAAGGGAAGAAGGAACCAGAAAGGTGAAGTGGGACGCGGGGCGAGGAGGAGTCGGTGGAGAAGGGGCGATGGATAAGTGAGGAAAGATAAGGGGGGAGTAAGCAGGAGGGAAGAGATGGAAGGAAAGCAAGAGAAAGCAAGGGAGAACGGAGGGCCTGAAGTATGCTGAAAAAGAACTCTGAGCGAAACTCCCTCGAAACTGAAATCTCAGTTAAAAGCGAGGGGGAGCCCCAGGTCCACGTTGGCCTTCAGAAAGTCGGCATCCGTACTACGTTCCGAGCGGCACCAAAGTACTGCTTCCCTCTTATCCTGGAAACCATGCAAGGGGAAGTCAGGGGGAAGCAAGAAATAGAAAGGAGGGTGGAACGCTCTAAACACGTGCGCATCCCACTGTCTGCGCACCACGGAACCGTGCTTCGTTTCGCCTGGGCACAGCGTCTCACAAGATTGGCAGCACTGGATTGGCACTGTGTGGACGAAACGCGAAGCTGCCTCAGTATTCCGGAAAAAAAATACTGACATCAACACAAATGTTCAGCTTCGCCAGGGGTCCAATCGGACTACCACACGGACGCAATACATATGATGCCATATGGACTGCGCACACACACACACACAACAAGCAGAAGCTATATGCGCTATGATGCAATCGGTGCATTTCCACTCATGCCGCCGCCAGCAGAGCCGTCTGTGTCCTCTCCTCACCGATGAAAACCTCCCTCCCTCCCTCCATGCGTCATCAACCCTGGGGCAATTGGAGGCCTCCCGAATGGGGCGAGGGTAGATGGAGTCAGAAGGATCGCGTTGCACCGATGCATCGACGATGCATGGATTAAACAAATCGGGCTCATCGCGCCGCATCGACAGTGCATCGGCGATGCCACGCGATCCTTCGACCTCCATCTGCTCGGACCCCGTTCGGGCGGTCTGGGGTTGCGAAGGCCAGTCCGCAACGGCCACCGCGGTCTCCTCTGCCTGCAGGAGGTACCTCGTGGCAAACGAGGCCGGCGAAGCGAGAGGAGGGTCCGCGGGCACGCACTCTGCAGGGACCCGAGTCCAGCAGACCCGCGCGATTCGTCCCTTCCCCGGCCTCCCCTAAACTCTGGAGCCTAGCGCTGAAGCCGAGGTCGGGGGCACATTGAGGCGAGCAGGAGGTGGAGGCCTGTCGAGGCGTAGCGCGCGTTTGGGGGGGTTTGGGGGTGGGGCCGGTGAAGGGCGGTGCGAGACAACCAGCTGAGCTGACGCCAACCGAGAGCGTCTCCGCCAGCCGAGCAAGATCACAGAGAACGCCAGTTTGCAGATGCATGCAGTGCGCCGAAGGGCAGTCAGCGCTGGCGAGAGCCCGGGGGACTGGGCCCACGGACAGGCAAGATCGGAGCGCGGCAGATAGGAGGAAATGATATACCAACAAAACGAAGGGTGGAAGAGACGCGGCGAGAAGATCTTCTGGAGAGGAGCGGTCACAGAGAAGGGGACGAGGCGTGAGCACCCGTGCCACGCACCAACGCCAAAGTCCGAGGATCCGCTGTGGTGGAAAATGGGGTTCCGAGGCCGCGGAGGCAATTTAGAGGGCTGAAGAACCACCCGCACAACTACCACCCCTACAAGCGAAGCACGTCCGCAAACACAGCTGAAAAAATCAAACAAGGAGGACTGTTTAATAAACGCACAGGACAATAAAACAAACGCCAATTCAGAGGGTGGGGCGTTCTTCCATTCGACCACCATTATCCGTGCCCCCCCCTCACCACTCCTGAAGGAGAACGATATAGGGGGGGGAGGACCAGGCCCCTGATGACGAGTCCGCACGTTCCTGGGCGGGGCGGGCTATCAAGCCCCAATCGGCAAGCAATAGGCGATTTGGGGTCGATGCATCCCTTCCTGACCGAATCCTTCCCTAACGATGGCCCCCCCCCCGACGCATGGTCGTGCAGCCCCAGCTGGGTCACCTACTCTCCGGCGCCGACAACTCCCTGAAGCGCATATTGCACTGCGTCAGTACACGGAGCTTCGCGCACTGTAGCCCGAACCTGCCGCGGGTCAGAGGCGGCGGCGCGGCGGCAGGTGAGACGCACGTGGAGGGGTGACGAAAAGGGCGAAGCGAGGCGAGCGAGGCAAGGCGAGGCGAGCGCGGTCCGACGGTTCGACGGCGAGGGCAGCGCGGGTGATAGAGGCTTCCTAGATGGGGTCCGCGTAAATGGGGTCGGAAGATCGCGCCGCGTCGCTGATAAATCGGCGATGCATCGCCGCTGCATCAGAAATGCATCCACGACGTCGGCGACACATCGGTGCCGTTGGAGTGGAGAAGACTGGGCTCTACATCGAGCCGCATCGGCGATGCATCGACGACACGGCGCGATCTTCCGGCCCCATCTACTCGGACCCACTCTGGGAGGCCTAGAGGTGAGCATAAGCCCAGGAGACGGGGGGAGGAGGGAAGAGGGCTCAGGCCGTGGCCTGGAGAGATGCTCACACGGCAGGGGTGCCGCCCGTCGCCGTCCGTCGCCGCCGCTCGTCTTGGGACCAGGGACCGCCGTCGCCGTCCGTGCCGCCCATCGCCACCGCCGCCGCTCGGAGCGAGTGGCGGTTTTTGCGGGCGGTGCCGCCCGTCGCCGCAGTCGACGCCGTCGCCATCGCCGCCCTTTGATGAAAAGGGGGCGGCGGATCGACTGGCCTTTTGGCCCATCCCGCCACCGCGCCTGGGTTGTGAGTCATGGGCCTCTGGGATGTTCGTTGGGGTGTCGCGGTGGGCCTCTCGGGGGCCTCTTGGGGGCCGTTCGGAGGCCTCTTGGGAGTGGCGGTTTTCGCGCACGGTGCCGCCCGTCACCGCCGTCGCCGTCGCGTCGCTGCCGCAGCCGTCGCATAGATTGCACCACATTGATTTTCCTGTCGAATCGAGCATTCGGATCTTCTTTCCTCCCCCCCCCCCGATTGATCGGTCCCCCTGGGGATTCGCAGTTTACAAACGGTTTTGCCCCATTGCCCATCCTGAATATGATCTCGCGCAATCCCAAACAAGCCTGTACCAACGACCCCCGTCATCCTATGCGCGCGCATTCGCTTATCAAAAATAATCCGTTCTCAAACATCCAATGGGGAAAATGACGAATTGCACACGCGTGCGTCGTCGTGCGCGCATGCGGGAATCCTTCAGGAACCGTTGGGCTCGTAAGGGTTCCAAAACCGGCTGGGGGGGAAACAAAAAAAAAAAAAAAAAAAAAAAAAAAAACGGTTTCGCAACACGGCCTTTCAAACAAACTGGCGCGCGCGTTGTTGCGTGTTCTTCGAAAGCCACGAATGCTTCAACATGTTGCGAGAATAAGTTGCAACCGATGGCACGAAGTGCGCGAGCGCGTCGTCGCGCGCGCATGCCGAAACCGCTATAGTTAGGTGTGTGTGTATATATGAATGTGTATATGTGTCGCAATGTATAAACGTATGTGTTTGCAGGGATGGCATGACAAAATGTCCCGAATACATAAAAACACATGGTTTTGCAACAGCAGCGCTCGAATAAAAAACGTTGCGCTCGCGCTCTTGCGAATTATTGGGACACCACTGGTCCTTCAAAATGTTCATGGGGTTCTGCCACACTGGCCACTCGCGCCGCGTGCCAAAATCATTCGAACGCCTTTGCGCGCGTGCTGGGGGGGGGGGCGCGATCCGCGTCGAATAATACCATGCGGCCAATCTGGCGCGTCGGCCGCGAGCGCATGTCGACCTCCTTCCAAACCTCATCACCGAAGCGAAAACGCCGTCATCGTCGTCGGCGGGGTCAACATCCGAGCCGTCAGTGGCCGTGCCGTCGTCGGCGTCAGCATCGTCACCAGCATCGCTACTATCATCGCGTCTAACGTTGTCGACGTTGCCATGACGCCGCGCCCGCCCAAGTCGCCGACTCGCACTGAAGTGCCCGCTGCAATGCGCCCATTAGCACCGCCGCGGCCGCGTCGGTCGCGCCAAACTAGCTGGCAGCTGCGCGCGCGAACATACGCGGGCCAGCGCGGTCGCAGAGATGCACCAGCCAACGCCAAGCACCCATCGCAATCGCTTCCGCACGGGTGTGTAAACCAAGTGGCGGGTGGGTGGGTGGGATGTTTGCAAGGGCATGGCATGTGTCAACTCGTTTGATTTATATATATATATATATATATATATATATATAAGAAAAAAAAACTTTCCTAAAATAATATAGACCCGACCCTCCCGGGATTATCTGTCCCCCTCTTCGCATTGCAATGTGCTACGATTCTGCCCCATCGCCCATCCGAAATATGAACTTGCACCATCCCAGCCGCGCTGGCATCCGCCCCCCCGGCCATCCTCTGCGACAAATTCTACGCGCGCGCAGTCGTTCATCAAAATCATCCGCTATCACAAATCCAATGAAAAAAAAAAAACGGACGAAGTGCATCGCGAGGAGTTCAAAGCCAAACGTCAGAAAAATATACGTATGTCCAACGATCTCGCGAATTCTTACGAAAACCACGGGTTGCTCAACATCCCCACGAAATTCGACCAACAAGGTTTCGCGCGCGCAGGCCAGAATCGCTCGAAAACCCTCTCGCGCGCGCATTCGCAGGATCCTTGTTTGTAAAAAATGTGTGTATATATGTGTGAATGTATACACATATCTGTGTATATATATATATATGTGTATATAAGAAGAGAGGAAAGGAAAGGCCCCCCTCCCCCCAACAACAAAAAAACGGAGCGCGCGCGTCGTCGCGCGCGCGCCGAAATTCCTCGAACATCTAGAGGCAGATCAAGGTGTCCACAACCAAAATACGCGGCCCGAAACCATTCGAAAGCACAGGGTTTCGCAACATCAAGCGCGCGCGCTCTTGCGATTATTAATACACACATAAAACCATGGGTCTTTCAACGCTGACATGAAATTCGGCCGAGCGGGCCTCTCGCGGCGCGCGCCGAAATGATTCGACGGCCCTGGCGCGCGCGCTGGGGGGGCGCGACCCGCGTCAAATAACATCGCGCGACCATTCTCGCGCGTCGGCCGCGCACGCATGCAGAACTCCTTCCAAAAACCTCATCCCCGACGCGAGGGGCCGCCATCGTCGTCGGCGCGATCGGCATCGGCACCGTCACTGGCCGCGCCGTCGTCGCTGTCCACATCGCCGCCAACGTCGCTACTATCATCATCGCGTCTACCGCTGTCGACGTTGCCATGATACCGCGCCCGCCCAAGTCGCCGACTCGCACTAGAATGCCCGCTGCGAGGCGCCGAGCGGTCAGCGCCGCCGCGGCCGCGTCGGCAGCGCCAAACTGGCCGGCCGCTGCGCGCGCGAGCGTGCGAAGGCCAGCGCGGTCGCAGAGATGCACTAGCCAGCGCCAAGCACTCATCGCAATCCCATCCGCGCGACTTTGCGAGCCAAGTTGCGGCCAGGCGGGCGGGGTGATTGCGCGAGCAGTGGGGTCGGCAACTCATTGCGAACAGATATGAATCCCACCAGCCCTTTGGGCGTGAGTGGTTTAGAGAGCTCTTTCTGTTCTCAACCCCCCTTTTTCCCCTTTCGGGGAGGGTTTTACCCCTCCCCCTACCCCCTCCCCCTGGGCCTGGAGAGGTCCTTTCGCGGGTCGTTGGAGGGGTCTTTTTTGACTCCTGGGAGGGCTAAAAAACGACACCCCTCACGAGGATTCTGGCCCCGACGGGGGGGCCCAGAAAAAAAACCCTCTCCTCTTCTTTGAAGCCAAAATCATTGATTTTACTACGGTTTTGGCCCCATGTTGGCCTTCTGAGGGGGCAGCGCTCATTAAAGCTCTCCTCTTCTTTCAAAGCAAAATCATTGATTTTACGATGGTTTTGGGCCCATGTTGCCTTTTCTGAGGGGGCAGCGTTACTTAAAGCTCCCCTCTTCTTTGAACGATTTCCTCCAAGATGGCCCCAAGAAGCGCCCAGGAGGCACCAAGAGGCCCCAAGATGGCCCCAAGAGGCCCCCAGGAGGCACCCAAGACGCTCCTGGAAGCCCGCGGGGCCGCCAAGAGGCCCCCAAGACGCCCCAAACGGCCTCCAAGAGGCTCCCAAGAGGCCCGAAGAGGCTCCCCCAAGGCACCCAAGACGTTCCCAGAAGCCCCTGGGGCCGCCAAGAGGCCCCCAAGACGCCCCAAAAGGGGACGAGGTGCCCGAACGCCTCACGCCACGAGGAGCCCGAACGACTCACACCAGGACGAGGGGCCCGAACGACTCACACCACGAAGAGCCCGAACGACTCACACCAGAAGGAGGGGCCCGAACGACTCACACCAGGACGAGGCGCCCGAACGACTCACACCACGAGGAGCCCGAACGACTCACACCACGACGAGGGCCCCGAACGACTCACACCACGAGGAGCCCGAACGAGTCACACCAGGAGGAGGGGCCCCAACGACTCACACCAGGACGAGGGGCCCGAACAACTCACACCACGGGAAGCCCGAACGATTCACACCAGGACGAAGAGCCCGAACGACTCACACCACGAAGAGCCCGAACGACTCACACCAGGAAGAAGGGCCCGAACGACTCACACCAGGACGAAAAACCCCAAACGACTCAAACCACGAGGAGCGTTTTCTCTCCCTCCTCCTCCGCCTCGTCCTTCTCCCGCCCCCCCCAAGGAACATGTGCATGGAGGCGGGAGGGAGGAGGAACAGGGAAGATATGCGGGGGCAAGCGGACACACGCCTGAAAAACACGACTGCCGGAATGCTTCGCAAGAGTTGCTGTTGTGAGATGGGCTGGTGGGGACACGCGAAGCGTAAAGAATTCTCTTCCCCAAGGAAAAATTGTACCCGCCACCCTACCGAAGCCGGACTTATCGACCCCCATTTAGGGATCTGCTAGTCACGTGCGAGTCTGTCCCGTCGACCATCCGAAATATGAGTTCACACCACCCCAGCCGAGCCGGCATCCGCCCCCCCCCCTCCCCCCACCCACCCACACCCCACCCCCACCCCCGCCGCCATCCTCTGCAGCAAACATTATGCGCGCGCACTCGCTTATCACAAATCATCCGCATCTTCAGAAATC